TTTGCCCAGCCAGCCACCCTGCGGTGTACTGTTGCTCAGCTGCCCCGCTGCCTGGCTTTCGACCTCCTTGCATTGCGTTGCCTTACTGCTAGCCCGCTTACTTTGCTACTTAACTTCGCTGCTTGCCTGCCTGCTTGCCTGCCTGAGTGCTTGCAGTGTCACCTCCCTGGCTATCCACTAGAAACAAAGGGTCAAAGTAGATTGAAACTCAAAAGGATCAGTATGGGGATTCTGCAGACTGTCAAGTGTTCAGCCTCTCGATGAGCGGGCTGGAGTCCGGTGAAACAGTCTATCATTAAAACCCCTTGTGTCCGTGTTTGTTGTTCTTGTAGCCCATGTGTCGGATGTATTACGCGTTTGCTTACGTATCTATGCTTGGAGACACCTGGGTCTTAGGGTCATGCCACACCACTGTCGAGCACATGTCCCTGCAGAGAGTGGCAAGATGAACTCTTTACTTTTTCCGTTTCCACAGTGGTGTGGTGCACTGGGCTACTAAGCTTCGGAATGCACCTCGGAGGTTTATCTCTAGTCTCTACCCTGGGGCTGATAAGCTTTGCGATGCATCTTTGGAAGTTAGCTCAGGGAAACCATGTCTTGCTTGGCATGAAGCTTGGCTGCTGAGGATTGTATCACGAACATCATCACACACAGCTTCACTGGAGGAAGCTGGGTCCATCAAACTGTTTTGTTTCATCTGAAGGAAAGTGGCTGCTGAAGTTCATTGATGAGTTCCCTTGACTGTCGGAAGAAGGATACAATTTGTTGGAATAAGTAATTGAACCCGGTCAAATATATACACCTCACAATTTCACAAAGATATCTTACTTCAGGACAACACAGGATGCGATGGCAAAGAAATTACATCACTCTCAATACCGCAAGGTGATTGATGATAGGCATTTTGCTGCAAAATAACGCTGCAGAAAGCACAGCAGAGAGACCCCAGAAAGGGTGCATGGAACCATCATGGCCATAAGTCCTCAGGAAGCCATGAAAACCCGAGTACTACTCTCAGATCTCTCTCTCTCTCTCTCTCTCTCTCTCTCTCTCTCTCTCTCTCTCTCTCTCTCTCTCTCTCTCTCTCTCTCTCTCTCTCTCTCTCTC